AATACTAAATCAAATAATAAAACTAAAAATAAAATAAAAGAAAAATAAAGAAATAGAAAATTATAGGCGTGACAATACTTTGAACACTTGGATGTTTAAATATTAGATATGTTTAAAAAAGCTTTAAACATATCAAAATATATAATACTACATATAGCTAGTTATACTCTCACAATATGTATCATTTCTCACTATCAATACCAATAAAAAAGGTCTGGCGATCTAGTGTAGTGGATAGGTTGTCAGACTGCCATGCAAGAGGTCTAGAGTTCAAATCTTACTGTTGACAGAATTGAATAATTACCTAGATATCTATACCCAACTTACGGTAAACTCTGTTTGTTTCTAGGGTTGTAACCCTGTAAATCACGTAGCACCAATGTTGTTTAGACATTGGAAGTGTGACAGAATGTTGGAATTGCATTACTTGAATAAATCGAGATAGGATCTATGGGCAGAGGACCTGCATAGTAGAAATCCCGAGTTAGGTGAAGTAGTATGAATTTTGATGATCATACTAGTTAACGCTTGATCCAACAAGAATTTCTGAATACGAATCAAGTAGATACGAGTAAGTTCACAGTGTAATGCAACCTGGTGCCTTGCATTTAGCAGCTACACCAACTTAGCTTGGCAGCTAACTAGATTGGGAGGATCTACCTCATGAAACATTTGGAAGTCTAACTGGTGAAAGGCCACAGCTGAAACTGGGTTTATACAAACATCGAATAAGGGTATATGCAAGCTAGATTGGGATATAGCGTAGCATAGTTGGGTCTGTAACACCCATTTGTTAGGGGGCGTTGAAGTTAGACTTATACGGATAAGACCTAGACCCATAACAATAAAGTTTACGATTAATGTCAGCTTGGATGCCTCCTAAAGTAGAGTAGTACAAGGTTTATAGTTAACTATAAAGAGTAATATTTGCGACAAGTGAGGTAGGACCAGAGAGTTTAAATAGGGAATCTTCTAAGAGATTTCAGGTATGGCAGCTAGTGTAAAACTTTTAGGCGAACTACTTAAAATAGACAACCTAAAATTGTACATGTAGCTAGTTGTACTCTCACAATATGTATCACTTCTGGAATATATGAAATTAATAAAGTTTAGCCGATAGCATTTGTATAAAGTAAAAAAAAAAAAAAAAAAAAAAAAAAAAAATACCAATAAAAGTTTCAGCTGATAGTATTTGTAAAAAGTAAAAAAAAAAAAAAAAAAAAATTAGCTAAAATAATTTTAACAAAAAAAAATAAAAATAAAAATAGATAACTTTTAAAAGTCTAATATTTTATTTATTTAAAACAAGAAATAAAAGTTTTTTTTAATAACTGTATTAAGCTTTTTATAATCTATACAAAATCTTTTCTTTCTATTCTTCTTTACAACTAATATAACTAAAGATGCTTATAGGCTAATTGATTCTCTAATTAACTTGTTGTTTATTACTATATTTATGATTGAAAAAACAAATGAAGATAATACTTTTGTGACACCTGTTAAACAGATATAAACACGTATTACGTAGTCCTGTACCAAGAAATCAAATGTCGGGCTCGGTTTTTTTTCTACCAAAAAAGCCTGCGCCTGCGAAACGTACTGGTAGAAAGAAAGGTTGGAAAATTTAGATTATATACTAACAGATAAATTTTCATATATTTATATAATTTATTTATTTATTGTAATGAAGCACGTCTTTCTTCTCCGGAACCAAGCAGTGAACGCGTTCCTTTTGAGCCTCTTCTAAAAGGCCAAGAATCGCCAGAAACAACTCAAGATAGATATGACGATTATATTAAAGCTATCCAATGTTTAGAGAAGAAGATTGAGGTATGTTATTAAAAATTCTTATATTATTACGAAAGTATAAAAATTCAAGGTAATAAAAAGCTAATTGTTTGTGCAGAATTTTTTATTGTCAGTTAATGAATCAACAATCTCTGATCTTTGCGACTTTGTAAAAAATGCATATAGCAAAGGAGAATATAGTAAACTGTAAGTGTAGCTTAAAGAATTGTGATAGTATTGTTGGCGGTTATTAATCAATAAATTTCTTATTGCAGCAATCCACCTAATTGTCTTTATACACTCCCAACTGCTTTGGTGTTTACAGGCAAATATCTTCTTTTTAATTAATTAACACAAACTCATTATATACAGCTTATTTAAACAGGTTTGCGATTATAACAGGCATTGATAAAGAGGAAAACACGATGTTCTTTAAAAGTGTCTCTCAAGAATTGCAGCAAAATAATCAGAATCACATTGTATTTCTTAATTCAATCGATTGTACTAATTTGAAACGAACGGAGAAACAAGTAGTTAGGCAATTTTTTGGTAGAGAAATAATTGAAGAAGAAAATGACAATGACGATCGCCAAGAAGACTCTCAAGAAGATTATGTATGGTTATTTCACCCATTGCTTAATTTATTATTTAAAATGTAATGAATGATCATATATTGTCCTAAATTAGGAGGCTTCTGATTATTCTATCGATCTAATTGAGAATATTGTAATATTTTTTAATAATTTCATATATACTTTATTCACCTGAGTTTTTTGATGAAGTATTATTTTATTTTTTTTTCGTAATTAAGGTTGATATGAACACTTTGGCTCAATGGTACGAGTATAATTATCAAGTTGAAGACGGTAATTAATTAGCTTTTCGTCATTTTATTAAACTTTAAAAAAGTTATTTTAAGACGCTTTAAATGTATCTTAGGTCTGAGATCTTTATCGAAGTTAATTATCATAATTCAAGATTTCGAGTGTTTTATGCCAGATATAATGGAACGCTTTATATACATGTGCAGGTGTTTGCTTCTTTACTAGTAATTATAAATTGTAGAATTAATGCTAATAGGATGATTTATATTTTATTTCGATATACAAATAGTCATTATAAAGATAGAATTCCCATTGTGTTTATGTTAGGGATAACTACTTGTATTCGTGGCATCGACCCACTTCATGAAAATTACTCATATTCGGTGGTGCGCTTGTTAAAACCCAAAGCATTTTATTTACAGACGCAAAAAGTCCGCTGCGATTATCTTGTATCACAGGTTGGCTTTATTTTTATTTTATTGTTATTTTTTTGAATATATATTTTTAATATGCTTATTAGCCTTTTTTAACTTATAAAGTGTTTAATAGAAAATACTCAATGTATAAAAGTCGGCGAGAAAGCATACGAATTTTTGCTTGATATGTTTATTGGAAGAAAGTTTTCATTATCATTATTCGTATCAAGCTTTAAGGTCCGTTTCTCTGTTGTTCGAAAGTTTTTTTTTTTATAAATTAGTAACGTATTTTTATTTTATAATAATCGTACTATGTAGTATGCATTGATGCACTATTTTTACACAAATCCTTTGAGTATTTTAGCAACTATTGAACCAGGGGCTATTTATTCGAGAATTGATTTGCTAAGTGAGAGCCATATAGAAATGATACGAATGCAAATTTCATTCAGAGAGTAAGCAAGTATCTAAGATATTATGCTATTTATATGTTCAATTTGCTAATTGCTTAATTTCTGAAAAAAAAAAAAAAAAATTGCCCAGGTATGTAGAGTCCAAACTTCATAAGCCAGCAGAGGCGCGTCAGCTATTGTGCGATGATTATTATGTAAAATCCCTTCTACCCACTTTCAGTCAAAATATAGCAACATATCATCGAAGATTTGCTATTGCTTTGGAATTTATAATTTTCCTCCAAAATTTTTTGTATGATGTAAAAAAGTTAAAATCAAAATATGAGTTATATTCTATAGCATTAAAAAAGCCAGGCCTTGGTGAAGATGAGTACATCCAAATTTTGTTGGAAGATTTGTTGTGAGTAGTTTAGGCTTTGTTGTGCGAAATGTTTTTTAAAGATAATGTTATTTAAAGATTTAAAGCTACTAAAATAAATATTTTATGTTATAGAAAGATAAATCCAAAAAAAATTGAAGAAATACTTCAAAACTTTGTTTCTTTACTTGAAACTGTACTTGACCATGTGGAAACTATCAAACAGGATTATGAAGATTTTTACGAATTTTTGGCTCGATCAAAGGAGATTGAGACTAATTTAACAAGACCTTCCGCATCGACTCGCTCTGCAGCAACGAAAATGAAAAACAAAGAGTCTATCATTTTACAAAAGATCGATGACGATTATAAACAATTGGTTATGGATGTTGTAAATTATTTGGCAATATTTTTTGAGTAAGCATTTTCACTTGCGTTTTGAATTATTATTACTTTATCTAAAATTATTTTTGTACAGAGAAAACTTACGACATTATTCTACGAACACTTTGTTTGAAATCTTCTACTACCAAGAAGATATATCTATTCTAAAATGCGTAAGAACATTATATTTTTATATTTTTATTCGGATGTATATACACAATCTGTAGTTAACAAAGTTCTATAAAATAGGCATTTATTCCAAAACCACGGTCAGCAATTCATGCTGCTCTTGGACTTTCTACCGAATATATAAATTGTAATTGTTGTGTAGTCGATTCTAATGATGAAAGCGATGATAAGGATGATGATGATTGGGATTCTAGAGAACAGATTCTTTCAACTCATAATGATACTTCTATATTATACAAATTACATTTACAATGTGGAAAATTGATTAACGTTCGAGATTGGCTAGATTCTTTTGAAAGTGTAATATCTAAAGAAAATTTAGAAAATAGAAAACTTAATGAAAAGGAAGTTGTGTAAGTATCTTTGGCTAAATCGATGGGTTTGCACTTTAAGTTATATCAACTTGATATCTCATTTAATATTGTTTTAGGGCAAGATTTATAAAAGGATTTGAAGAGCTTAAATTAATTGGTATTATCGGGTCTACGAACAGAAAGATTGATCATTTCAAGAGATTATCATGGGGTAGATTGTAAGATAATTATGATGTTTTAAATATAAAATAAACCAAGGAAAAAATTTTTTAAACTGTAACAAAAGAACTTATATTTTTATATTGTATTGGTTTTTTAGTATTAAACTTCTTAAAATAATCTTTATACAGTGCAGGATACCTAAAGGCAGAAATTACGTGATTTGTTTTATTTTCAAAATTTTTATATTGAAATTTAAAGTTTTTTTGAATTTTTATATTTTAAGAAATATTTTAAAATTAATTTTTAAAATAAAAATAAAATTAGCTAATAGCAGTAAGTTAAAACATGTGATTTGTTTTATTTTGTTTAAATTTGTATATAATATATAAAAATATTATATTTTTAAATATATTAATTAAAAAAATATATAAGAAATAAAGTTATTAAGTTGTAGTATTAGTTTAAATTATTATATTTTGTTATTATATTTATTATTATTATATTTTATTATTATCAATAGTTAGTTTTTTAAATATATTTATTTATGAAAATTACTATTTATCATCACTAGTAATCATCATCAGAATTTTGTGTATAATATATAAATCAATAACGATAAACTAAAAAAAAATTAATTTCATATATTTTAGAGTTAGAGTGAGATCTAGGATTTTATTAAGGCATTAAAAGTATATAAAATTTAGCAAGAAAATTTTTTTGTTAATATGTCAAAAAGTAGTTTCATAAGCAAATTTTTGAGATATAAGCATTTTTTAAAAAAAAATCGATTTACATATTATATCTAATTTTATAATTTATTAGCTAATTTTATACTAATAATAATTATTAGTAATGATAAATAGCAAATTTCTTTATTTATTATTATTTTTTTAATAATTTAATAGCAAATATAAAGGTCTAGTAATCTTAGTCTAGTGGTTAGATTGCTGAACTGCTATGCAAGAGGTTTGGAGTTCAAATCCTACTATCAACAAATTTGAATAATTATTTAAATTTTTTGTATCTAACTTATAGTAAATCCTGTTTGTTTCTAAAGTTGTAACTCTGTAAATTATATTGCACTAATATTAATTAGATATTGGAAGTATAACTGATATTTGAAGAGATATAATATTATATAAATCAATCTTGATAAGATCTATAAGCAGAGAACTAGTATAGTAAAAATCTCAAGTTAGATAAAATAATACAGATTTTTTTTTTATTTTTTTTTATTGTTACAACAAGACTTTGATGCTAGTTAATTTTTATTAAATTATTTGTAGGTTTATATTAGTTAGTGAGAGTATACTTAGTTATATATATAACTTTAATCATTATTTATTTAAAGGTTCTGCTCAGAGGTTATCTACTAATTATCATACCTAGTATCTATTTGTGGATACTCTATTTTAAACTCTCTAGCATCTCTGTTATCTCTAACATTAATCTAATTTTATTCTTAAATCTGCACAATCTCATGCTATCTTAATGAAGACTATTTAGACTAGTATATATCTCAGTTTTCCTTATTAAAAGAGTTTTATCTCAAGATACTTTTTTGTTCATATTAGGAGAGGCTTGCGGAATACTCTAACTATGCTATACTATATTCTAATTAAGCTAGCATATATCCTTATATATATTCATATATACCTAGTTTCTACTATAACTCTCCACCAGATAAAGTCTTCTGAGATTTCAGATATTTATAAGGTAGATCTTCCTAATTTAGTTAGCTACTAAGCCAACTTAATATTGTTGCTAATACAAGGTATCAGATTGCATTACATAGCAGACTTACTTGCATCTACTTAATCTATATCTTCTGTACTCAGGTTTTTTATTAGATCAAGTGTTAACTAGTATGACTATTAAAATCTATACTACTTTATCTAATTTAGAATTTTTACTATGCAGGTCTCTGATCATAGATCTTATCAAGATTTATTCATATAATGTAACTTAAATATTATATTATACTTCTAATATCTGATTGATATTGATACAATATACTTTACAGGATTACAACTCTCAAAAACAAACAGAGTTTATTATAAGTTAGATACAAAGGTTTGAGTAATTATTCAAATTTATTGATAGTGGGATTTGAACTCCAGACCTCTTACATAGTAGTCTGATAACCTAACTACTACACTAGAATTAATAGATCTAATAATACAAATTTTAATAGTCATACTAGTTAATACCTTATCTGATAAAGAATTTTGTAACTAAAAGATATAATTAAGTAAATATGAATAAGTCTATTATACAAGGTTATATAATAATATTAATCTAGTTTAGTAGCTAATTAGATTAGGAGAATTTGTTTTATAAAATATCTAAAAATATAAAAAACTAACTCAGTAGAAAGCTACAGTAGAAACTAGGTTTGTACAAATATCAAACAAAAGTATATACAAGCTAAATTAGGATATAGTATAGTATAGTTAGATTTATAACATCCTATTGATTAGAGAGCTAGTATAAAGAAACTTTGAGATAAAATACAAGTAAGTTATAGTACTAGAAAGTTTATATAAAGAATCTTCAAATAGATTTCAGGTATTGCAACTAGTATAAAACCTTTAGACAGACTACTTAAATAAATAATCTAAAGTTGTATATATGACTAGTTATACTCTTATAATATGTATTATTATCTACTATCTAAAAACTAATAAAATTTTAGCTGATAGTATTTGTATAAAGTAAAAAATAAAAAATAAAAATAGCAAATATAAATTTATCATAATCATAAATTATTTGAACCAAAATCAAAGCAGAAAAAAATTATATAGAAAACTCTATAATTTAATTAAAAAATATACAAGATAGTCTAAAAAAAAGAATTCACAATAAAAAAATATATATAATAAAGTAAAAACAGATCTTTTAAGAAAAAAACTTAATACTATAGCAAGAAAATTATTTTATTTGATACTTGAAAATATTATATTGTCAAAAAGTAGAAATTAGAAAATCTCTAAAAAATTCTAGCAGATTATTACACATGAATCTAATAAAAAATTACTAAATTAGAAAATGATTTGAGTAGAATAAAACACATATTAGAACAACAACAAAATTAATAATAATATATAAAATAGGTAAACAAAATAATAAAATTTTTAGATCTGGTGATCTTAGTGTAGTGGTTAGATTGCCAGACTGCTATACAAGAGGTCTGAGGTTCAAATCCTACTGTTGATGAATTTGAATAATTACCCAGACATTTGTACTCAACTTACGGTAAACTTTGCTCGTTTCTGAGGTTACAACTCTGTAAATCACATTGCACCAATATCAATCGGACATTAGAAGTATGACACAATGCTCGAGTTATATTATGCAAATAAATCTTGATAGGATCTATGAGCAGAGGATCTGCATAGTAGAAATCCTGAGTTTGGTGAAGTAGTATGAATTTTAACAGTTAAGCCAGTTAATGCCTGATCCAGTGAAAAACCTGAGTACGAAGGATATGAGATCGATAGATATGAGTAAGTCTGCTATATAATGTAACCTGGTGTCTTGCATTAGTAGTAACACCAATTTGGCTTGGCAGCTAACTAGATTAGGAGGATCTACCTTATGAAACATCTGGCTAGAACTTGGAGGACTATATCTGGTGGACAGCTATAGCAGGAACTGAGTTCGTACAAAAATTGACAAGGGTCTAATTCAGATGAATTTGTAAAATAAGCATATGACTACTCTGGTAGGAATTACTTCTGAGATTAACTGGAGCTCTGCGGCTCACAATATATTGGGTATACGCATCTTGAGAGGATCTAAGCTGTGCAGAGAATGGATCTACAGATGAACTAGCTGGCTTAAGTAGTTGGTCATAGTGGTGACGTTAGTTTAGGATGGGAGGAAGGGTTAATGATCAGAGTGTTTAAATAGGTAACTCACAGGTGAGTTGCAGGTATAGCAGTATAGTATAGAACTAACAGATAGTCGATCATCTATATAGCAGACTACTTAAATTAGACAATGACTAAAGTTGTATGTGTAGCTTGTTGTATACTCATCATATAACTGTAAAACCTTAGGAAACTGTTTATGTAATAGTTCTGTAATAACAAACTAATAAAATCTAATCAGCCAAGGAAGTAGCTTTAATAACAAAAAAAAAATAATAATA